TGGTTTGATGTGAACTGCCTACATTGGCACATACCTTGCTACCATCATTCAGATGTCAGGTTACTAAATGTATGGTTGTGGATTCGCACATGTGTCCCAAATTTTAATTGGTTTAAAAGTATATACTTCGGTTCTACTGAACTTGAGGTGAAGACCGTGTGGACCTTCCTCCTACCACGGGTCAGAAGTGTTATTCCCAATGCTGCTTGGTTTTAGACTGGAGTTGATCAGCTGTGTATGGTCAGATGCACCCTATCCACTCTGCACCTTGGAGCACTTCCATTTTAGCTTTTCCCACATTCCTGTTTGTAGATAGTTGATTCTTCTACATCTTTCTTCTATGGCAGGGGGTCTCCAAACCTTTTTGGACAAGGGCTGGGAGGTAGATCTTTTTAGATTTTGCTGGCTGGAGGGGTCGTTGTAAAATTAAGTAGGGATGCATACTTGATCAGATTGGCTTTTACTCAATTACTTTTTATTTTTTGTTTTTATAATATTAAAAAATTATATTATTACTTTAATAAACTGTTGGTGGGCAAGATAAACTAAGCAAGCCACTGTTTGGAGACTCCTGTTCTGTGGGATTGAGCTTCCACTATACTGTGATTTGGACTCTGATCCAACTTGTTGTCTCTCTGTTTTTGGTTGCGCTTCTTCTTCCATTTTCCACCCATGTATGCAACACCTCTTTTTCACACTGGATGCAAACTATACTTGGTACAGAAATGGTGTGGTCTCCCAAGTGTGTTCCTCTCCCAACAGGGATCACTCTTCATGGATGTTCTTTGGATACTTTCAAAGGATACTAATTTTGTATTCCTTGCAGCAGTCCCTCTACCTATTTAATGTGGGATTCTAGCTATACATGTGAGAATAGGTAAAATATCAAATTGGAAGTTATTTTCCCATAATGAAAATATATTTCTGATAGGTACTTACCTTCTCACTCTTCCTCTCCACTTTAAACTGTGCTTCCTTTCTGCCTACCTTGAAGTAATAGTTCAGTAGAATCAATTAGAGGAAGTCACATGCATCAGGAGGGTGTGTCACACTCCTATTGGTTGAGGATTGTCGCATGATGATTTACATGCAAGTCACAATGAACCACATTGATTGTTGAATATGTGGGAGCTCAAGGCTTGTGGCATGCAAAAAAATGTTTGCATGTAGAGGGCAGCACTGAACAAGAATATATATGAGGGGGAAGTAAGTACCTATTGGAAATATAGGAAAATAAAAACTTTTGTGAGTGTTACTCCCAAATATCCTGAGAACTAGTGTGAATTCAGTCATGCTAGTGAACAATTCATATTCTAGATATCACCAGAAGTTTAAATCTCTACGTAGAATAACACATATCATAACACTTAGTTTGGGAATCAACGCACCAAAAAATGTCTCCTTGAACTGTAGACTGGGTTTTACCTTGGTAATTAGGATCATTTTATCATGAAAGTAAAGAAAATGATTTATTAATTTTTTGTATCAATGTAATGAAACCCTAATGTAAAAAGAATTGTTAACACTTAAGTAACAATAAATGATGTATTAAATTGAATTTTAGAAGTTTTACAAGTATTTCATAAAGCTCATACATATGTGGTTCATTGTTATACAGTAGCATACTTATCTTGTTAAAGTACTGGAATAATTGTCTGCATTTCATTATAATCAGGCTCCCATTGATAAAATATAAAACAAGTTCATACATCAGATGGATCTTTTGACTTTGAATTTAAGTCAAATCAAGCTTTGAGTACAAATTCATTGAAGGACCTCATTAAACCACTGCCATTTATTTTTTCTACTTTTTCTCTTTTTGATTTTTCTTTTAATCTGTATTCTGTCCTGCTCTTGTCTTTCTTTCTTTACAGCTTTTAACCTCATCTTAGTCTATCTAATAATCATCTAGGTATATTGAAGAACATGTTCAAAAAACTGGTGTTGCCATTGAAACTCAAGGATTTACCATTGTAACGAGTGGAAGAAAAAGAGAATCTTTAACAGTGAGTCTTGAAGATCACTTCCACATAAAATCTTTAAATTATTATTTGTCGTATGAATAATGTCTTCCATACATGAGAAATTATAGTGTCGGTTTATTTGTTTCAATTTACAATACATTTTAATTTTTATTAGTGATGATGAATACATAATTTAGACTGTTAAAACATGCAGTAAAAAAAGGGAGAAAAGACAAATGTTGTATGTTCACTGATACATTTTGAGAAATATAATTTGCTTCATTTATTCAATTCCATCTTTCCCATTTTTTATTTATCATATTCATATTTCTGTTATATATATTTCATATATATATACATCACTTTAAAGAATGGCTATGTATGTTAATAGCTAAACAAACTAACATAGAACTTGCAATTAAACTTTTATCCAAAATGGTAATAGAAATAATTTATGTTCTGAGTTTTAAAAGTTTTTTAAATCTGTACTAACCAGAAATATATCTTATATCAAAGGCTCTCATATTTTCCTAACTTGCAACCCACATGAGGAGCGAAACAGTTTTCTCAGATGCATGTTTAACTGTGGGAGGGTGGTCACTGTTTAACAATTTTCACTAGTGTGTTGTAGTGCTAATATAATTCCTGTTTTGGCATGTTCAAAAACATTTTTTGATAGTGATTTTAAAGCAAAAATATATTAACATTTTATATCTTGTTCTGTAGTCACAGTTTGGAAACTGCTATCCTAAATCAAAATGTATGATAATTATTTTGATCTAGTGTATTAAATGAACTGTGCAATGAGTTTGGTAAGACAGTATTTTCCTGAGACTGAAAACATTAGATATTTTTTTAATTTCATCTATATATTCCCCTTAGTATCAAAGTGCTCTGATTAAGGATTTAAAACAAGAGAGAAAAACCAACTCACTGTTTTCAGAGAGGAGAGGAGGCCAAATTCTAATGATAAAAGGTCCAATTTCACAAGATGTTGCAGAGCCTTATTGTAATTTCATACTGAGTTTTTAATTGCAATGTTACACTATTCAAACCATTTGCTTAGTGACATTGCAACCAATATTCAAGTCTAATAAACCAAATTGTTATGCATGTCAAAATGAAAAAAATTACGTTAAGTCCTGAAACTGTCTACTTTTTGATTAAATCATATGGAGAAAGCAGTGCATTGTTTTGCCAACTCTTTTGTATAAATAGATATGGTTATGGACCCCCATCAGTAATTATTGGAACTAATTGCAATATTGATGGAATTTTGTATAATTATTTTTGTATGTATAATCATACATATGTAACCAACATACTCATAGACCCATAAGTAATTTTGTGTATAAGTAGTTAAAAAAGAAAAGAAACATTATTTATAAAGCTATTTGGGATCCACATATTTCTAGGGTTATCAAGATGAAGGTTAGTTAGGATCATAACCATTTTTTAAGAAATAATCCCTTGTTGAGTAACTGAAAAAACACATGGCACTACTGTTGTGCAGTGAGGAGAGTTGCAAGTAGTAGATTTCAATATAAATCAGAAATATCATTATTTCAAAATCCCGTAAGTTATTGATCTGTCAATCTAAAAAAAATCAAATACAATATTTACTGCTTTGTCTTTGAACTATTCCTCTTGCATTTATTAAGAATTAATATTCTTTTCCTCTCTCTCCTCTTCCATCCACTCAGTCACTTTGGGGGCTTAGAAAAGAGGCAAAGTGCAAGACCTTTCGTAGTATTTGGCAATAACAAGAAATTTTAAAATAAATGTTAGTAGTAAAAAAATATTTTTTTATATTAGCAAATCTACCCTTACATTAGATGTATGTTGACTGACTAGTAAGAAAAACAAAAACTAGAACATTGTTCCATGTACTAGAAATCTTTCCTTTGTTGAAAACCAGAAGTTTTCTAATTCACTTATCTCTCAAATACTAAGGGCAGACAAACACAGAGACAAGTGGATATTGTTATCTTATTATATAGTCTATGGCCATACATTTTTTAATAATAATTTGAAAACAATGTGTACATATTACCTTTTGAAATCTATCTATTAGTGCATGGAATCTCTTTTAACTATACAAATGGTTCAACAGAATGATGTGGTACATTTGTTAGTAGTTCAATCATATTGTTACGACAGCAGAAGTCACGTGACACTGGTAACACGTAATGAGTATCTAGAAGGTTCCTGAAGGCTCGAGATGCCCTCTATTTTGTATATATAAGACTGGCAAATAAAGCGGGGGAGATAATTGAATAGCAGACAGGGAGATAGAGACAGATAATCGAGTCAAGCCGTAAGTAAAGTGTGTAAATCGTTGTGAATTATAGCGTGTGTTTAAGTTAAGTGACTGTGGAAATTAAGTGTATTGCAAAGTTGTATTGAGAAAGAATAAACTAGTTTTATTTAAGAAAGGACTTGTATCGCTAAAGTTTCATCCGAAAGAAAGTATACGGGAAATTAACAAGCGACCAGAGACAGGAAATTAACAAATGAACACAGACGTAACAATATTAATTTTGGATTTTGTAGCTTCATCTTTAAACACCACTCATAAGAACATTTATGTTGGTTCCTCATAGAAATGAACCCTAAGCAGCTGCCATTACTTTTGCAAATCTGAACAAATAGATGTTTTTCTTTTCTTTTTTTTTGTATAAGTTTAAAAGTTTTTTCACTTGCAGAAGCTAATCCAAGTTAGTAACTGTATTTCTATATATATATAAATTATCCATATGGTTTAAAATCATTATTATGATATATTTTCAATATACTTTCAGCTTGGTATGTTTTAATAGTGCAAAAATATAGTTATACATAAAAATCTTCTTACCCAATTTGTGTTGGGAAATAAACAGAATCCACACACATACCTTGAATTGTGTATTTGCCTTCTAGTATTTTTATGCTGAACTATACTTACATAAAATTTAAGAGTAGAAACTATTATTTTAATAATTGTGTGGAATAGTTGTTCTGGTGCCATCCCAGTACATCATGAATGGAGACAGATCTGAATTTTTTTAGGGATTAAAAAATTTTAGAATTAATTCTAAATGATCATCTGATTACTGTATTTTTTTTTTTTTACTTTTGTTTATAGATTCTAATTATGAACTAGCTTAGAGTTTATATCCAACATGCTGGCTCTGAAAAGTACTATTTATTTGTTGGTAGTGGCCAGGATCTGATCCTAGGACTTCTTGATAGAGAAGTTGGTGTGCTATCCACTTGGCTCGGGTTTACCCCATCAAGACTTAATCAACTACATGAATGTTTTCAAGAGAGATATTCAGGTTTTGTTGATTTGTGTGTTAGCTTGACAATGTTGTCTGGTGAATATAGGTGGCTTCTCATATATTTCTTTTTCTTGTATGTGGTTCATATCCTATTATTTTATTAGTATTCTGTTTTATTGTATGGTCTTCTCTGGCCTAATGAGCTAATATTATAATGTATTGATATTCTCAAAGGTGTGGAGTGATATTTTTGCTCTTCATTGTATCTTTAGATGGGTTATAATGTGTTATGGGTTCTGAATCCTGTTCTGACTATGCTGTTTACAAATCTGTGAAGTGGAATGAGTTCTTACATGTGTGGCTGTTTTACCTATTAATGTGATATTATATCTACAAGATAGATAGCTCAGGCATGACATGGTTAAGCTCTGCAGTTTACTAAGAATTGAAGGGTAACCTTGCTTTCTTGTGAAGTTTAGGAAGACCATAATTGTGTGTGTGTGTGGGGGGGGGGTCTGGTTCTATGTTAGTTACACAACTGTTTCTGTTTTTCAAGTTATTTTTTATGTTTCTTGAGGAATTCTTTAATTTCCTTCTCTGTTAGTTGTTGGGTTAGTTTTTGTAGTGGCCATCTTCAATTAAAGTTTGGAACTCGATGGTAATATTCCTCTTTACCTATGATTAGAGTAGCATTACCTTTCTATGCTGGTACAGTTGTTAGGATAGTATTATATTCTTTTTTATGAATGAAAAATATCACCCAAAACAACAACGGTCAAGTTTTAAAAACCTATAACTACCTTTGAAGGATAGACTATGTATTCTATTTGTCAGATAAACTATAATGTTTTATTTGTCAGTGAAGTCATTGGAAAGTATTTGAAGTAATGCATGTTAAAACTCTGTTGGTATATAAGTTCATTCACCCATTCCTGTGTATGTTACCTACTATATTTATAGCCCACCCAGTAGCTCAACAGTAAGTCTGGGAGTTTATATTGCTAAAAATCAGGTTTTGATACCTGCAGCAGGCAGAACATAGATAGCCCATTGTGTAGCATTGTGCTTAACAGCAAACCAAAAAAATAATAATCTATGTGTTTTTACCCAGAGCAATTTTTATGTATGAATTTAATATATTTAATTTAGACCAATTAAAGTTAAAACATGACATTAGTACACCATTTTTCAATGGAACACAATTGTTTAATTTCATGTTTAGTCATGACAGTATACATATATATATTAAATTAGTTGAAATTGTACAAAGTATTAATGTATTTTATAACAGTTGTCATTGTGTAATAAAAGATTTTTGGTAATTTTTGACCTTTGATTGCCACAAAGCTTTTTTTTTGTTTTACAAAATTTAATCAGAAAACTAATTAGTTGGAACTATGTTGAAGTTAGTACTTGCCACATGTCAATAATTTATCTTTACTTGGTGAATAATAATCTTTTCTTCTTAGAATTAATAATAGTGATTGAAGTTGCTTTGGAAAATCACATGATTTATTTTCTTTTCAGGGAAATGCCACATTACACTTGTTTCCATATCTGAAGCCGCTTCAGGTGATATCTGGTAAGCCATAGCTTCAGTTTTTGAAATGTGCAATTGTATTGATAAATTGTTCACTATTTTAGATTTTTAAATTAATTTCAGTAGTAAATAGTGATTTCATATTATGTGCTGTTTTAAAATTTTGTAAATTTTAAATATCAATGCTACTGCAGAAGATCAATTCAATGTTTACAAAATTTTAATTACATGATTGATCACAATTGTTGTAACAAATTCCTTTGGTCATTGTATTGTAAAGTAAATTATTAATGTGGGTTTATGCTTAAATATTCTAGCCATATGTAGAAAGTCAGAGATGTGTTTTTAGCAGCATTTTATAGGTGTTTTTATTATTATTTTATCCATGAAGAAATTTTAAAGTAAAAGTATTTTACATTTCCAGCTTTTGGCCTGGCATGGCCTGATGGTTACAGCACTCGACTCGCAATCTGCAGGTCACAGATTTGAATCTCCAGCACACCGACCATGCTTGTCCTTTCAGCCATAGAGGCATTATAATGTGACAGTGAACCCCACTATTCGTTGGGAAAATAGTATCCCAAGAGTTGGCAATGGGTGATGTTGACTAGCTTCCTTCCCCCTAATCTATCACTGCTAAATTAGGGATGGATAGAGCAAGTAACCCTCATGTAGCTTTGTGCGAAATTCAAAACGAATCAAAACAATTTCTAGCTTTTAAACAATACACATTTCTTTACATATACATATAATTTAAGGACAACGATGGATCTGGTGGTCCATCTAGGCCATCCCATCCACTATGACCCTAATATTTGCAAATATTTTGCCTTTCCTCCCTTACCTGATATTCAGGTTCCCCCTGACTCCTTCCTTGAACAACTTTCCAGCCATCACCATATGCTTCGTCCTCCTTGCCTTTCTGAACCTCATGCTCTAACTCGTACACATTCATTATTCTTTCCTTTCCTGTTCTTAATTCTCAGGGCCCAGCATGGCCAGGTGGTTAGGGCACTCGACTCGCAATCTGCAGGTCGCAGGTTCGAATTCCCGTCACACCAAACATGCTCACCCTTTCAGCCATAGAGGCATTATAATGTGACAGTGAACCCCACTATTCGTTGGGAAAATAGTATCCCAAGGGTTGGCAATGGGTGATGTTGACTAGCTACCTTCCTTCTAGTCTTGCATTGCTAAATTAGGGACGGCTAGCACAGATAGCCTTCAAGTAGCTTTGTGCGAAATTCAAAACAAACCAAACCTTAATTTTCAATCTAGCGAATTTCTGTTGCTTGCTTGGGGAGTGTACTTCTTTTCTCTTGTTTTGCTCTCCAGTGCTCAGTTTTCACATGTTAATCTTTGTCTCACCATCTTTCTTTGTTACCCCCCCCCCCCTCCCTGCACCTTATTTCTGAGGCCATAGATGAGATGAAATTTTAGGGGAAGTTTGTTCCCCTTTTTTTACACTATGGCCCATGCCACTTCTTCTGCTTTATCTCTATTTAATGGTTTCTCTGTTGTTGGGACATATTAGGTAGGGATACACTCCTTACCAACATATGCTTTGGAAAATCACATGATTTATTTTTTCTTCAGGAAAATGCCACGTTACATTTGTTTCCTTATCTCTACTTACTTGCACTCCTTACTAACATCTGTATACCTCCTTCCTATCTGTATTATATTTTTTGGGCTTCCTTTCTTCACCCTGAAATTTGTGGGAAGGTGACTGTGCTTTCTCTCCTATATCGCTTCCTTCTGTTTCTCACACCTGCAATCATTTAAACCCGGATTGGATGCTGTGTTCTATTTGGTGTTTCTTATAAAAAAAGTCTCTTCCTTTCAAGGTCTCCATCATAATTTGTTTATACCCTGGGACCCTTCTTCTTCCAGGATCTCTCCCCTTCTACATTTAATGGATGGGTTCACCAACTTCTCTGGTTGGTATATTCTTCCCTGAATGTGAATGATTGCATGCTGTTCCACATTTCTTCACATCAAATTCATCACCTGACCCATTTCCTTGTTTCCCATTTTTACTGGCCTTTTGACCAAATCCTCCAGGCAAGCATGTGGATGATTCTCCACATGATTGTATCTTATTATCTCCACCATCTAGCTGTTTTGTCACCTGCTGGATTTTGACATGTCACCATTTCTTCAATCAACCCACCATCTTTGAGATGGGTAAGTGTATTTATATTTTCCCTTCTCTCCATTTTTTTTCATTTAGGATCCTGCTTGGGCCTATTAGCACAATATGATGAGAAGTGGGCTGTTAGATGACACTGTCTATGAATGCAGGTCACCCATTACAGACATAACACAAACATATTGTAACCTCCTTTTGCAGCCAAAATCAGTTCAATAGAGTTAAGGCAAGTTCACTTTGTTACGGTATGAACACACTCCAACCACACTACACATATTGGCTCACTGACTGCTTGTTTACAATTACTCAGATGGTCATGTTCTCATTCTGCCTGTCCCTGGCATTTAGGACTCATTATATTGTCTCTCTAACATTCTGGATGAAGAGTATATCCTGGTCGAGATGAGATGTGGTCTTCCACAGCTATGCCTCTATAGAGCCCCTGTCATTGGGTGTCACGTCACACTACATGGGCTTTCTTTTCAGATGCTCACCTAGGTTTATAGTTTGTATTTGCCCATCCATTATTTTAATTTGGAATTCTAGCTATTTTCATCTGACCTTGTCTAAGAATGTTATCACGAGTGCAAGTGTGTAGAGAGGGTTACTGTGCATAGAAGTTGTGTTGCCCTTCTGTTGGTGAAGGGTTTTTGTTGCATGATGACATCATCATCCAGTTCATGTTAAACATGGGAATTTTGGTGGGAGCTACTTCAAGGCTAATGTTATGTAAATTTCACAAGGAAATGCTTGAGAAAGATAGCACTTCTGAGAATGGAGGTGAGAATTTATCGGAAATACATTTTCAGATTAGGAAAATGTTAACTTTAATGCTTTACCATGATGTAATTTGACTGAGGGTTGTGATTTTAATTTGACTTTACTGGGTTTCATTTTCAGTTTTAATTTTTTATTTTGAGTACAAGCTTAGGATAAGGAGAATGGAACTGTGATATGCAATCTACATATTTCATTCTCCCATGGCTTACTTTTCATAACTACAACATTTTAAAAAGTTCTTATTAAAACCAGTAAAGGTTATGTGCTAACTTGGCTTTATATATGCTATTTTCTTGCAGCAAGTCCAATCACAGACTCCATAAATATATTTTAGTGTCCACCTGATTTATTTATTGTCCTAACTTAAGAATAGTTGACACAATAATTATTTTGACATAAACAGCTAGTATTAAAAAATCAACTCACAAACTTATCCAAAGGGTAGCATTTTATGATTAGCCACATATATGTGACCAAATCTTTTCTTACGTGAATTATTGGTACTAGTTTTTGTATGTTGTTAAACACAAAGCTATACAACAGAGTATCTGTGCTATGCCTATCATGGGTATCAAAACCCAGTTTTTAGCATTATAAGCTTTCAGACTTACCACTGGGGTAGGGGGGGGGCATTAGTACAAGTAACATATAATATAAACAATAATTGTTTTTCTTAAAATTAAATGTAGTTTTTCTTGTGCCTACTGCTTTTTTATTTTAAGAGTCGTATATACATTTTGGGTAGTTAAATGTAGACAAAAAGTATGTCAGTCAGAATTTGATCATCAGCTCTTCTTTAATTAATCACATTAAATTGAATTGTTAAATTGAATATGTGCATAAATTACATTGTACAAGAAATACATGTATAACAAAGTTAAGAAAGACTGAGAAGTTCCCTAGCTTTGCTAAGCCTACCTAGAAAAAGGTTCAGAAAACCACAAATATATTTATTTGAAACTTAAGCTTTTAGACTAATGACAGTGTGGTATGCATACATACCATGAATTTTCTACCTTCCTATGCTTCAAAAATTATTTTGTCATTACAGTTTTTGTATAATTTGGCCAGAAATGTTTATTAGTTGTAATTCCATTGAGTTCACACCTGTTCTGCTGACGGGAGGCCTGGTTGTAATACTGTACATTGTGCATGAATGTTGACAATAGAGTTATCAAATTTGTCTTAGCAGCCAGAAGTGACAATAAGCTCATTATTCTCTGACATGAGATTATTATGAATAAGTTCAGCATTGGATAGAATACTTCAGGTAAATTATAGGTTTCAGAAGCACATGGAGCACTGCCTAATATGATAAATAAAATTAGAAACTTAAAAATTGAGACAAAGGTGAATTGCCAAAACGGTGAAATGTTTTCTACCAAGCATATTGTTGAAATGGTTTTTATTGTTCAGTGAGTTTTTTATTACTTGGTAAAATTAACACCAATTCCAATCCATTGATAGGCCTAACTTACCAATAAATCTTAACATTCACTTGCTTGTTAAATTTTCTCCCATAACTACTGTTGCAACTATTATCATGAGACAATTACCAAGTTAACAATAGTATTTATTTCAGTTACCAAGAATATGCAGTCAGTGACAATACACACAGAGACTTGAATTTATGAACTGCTAAATACAACATTTATTAATGTCACTCTATTTACAATGGATTATTGAAACAACTTTCATAGTTTTAAGATTACTTGGGTCTTCAATTACCTATATACTTTTAACAACTTATATTATCAAACTATTTGAGAATATTTAAAGTCTTAGAAACAATACAATTTGCTGGGAAACAGAAACTTGTTCCTTGTTCTAATAGTGTGGGATTGACTGCAGGCTCTTATCAGAAGCTGACTGACTTTATTGTATTTTAAACATAGATTCTTATATGTTTTTGTTGCTGTGCAATTTTAGTTACTAGGCCGTGTGTGGGTGTGTACTGGATAAAACAGCTTAGGTAATTAAAATTTTTCTCAAGAGCTGAAATACTTTCCTAGAGATCTTAAGAATCTTTCTTGTAAGAACTGCATCACTAGTAAGTCATTTTTGTTCATTGCCATCAAGGGCAACCTTAGTGAACAATACACAACATCTG